GGAATCATGATTTGGCGTATGTCGGCTCGCATTAGCCGCGCGTTTGCAGTCTTTTCGTGGTTTCAAGCGTTCAAACATGTGATATGATGCTGCTCCCATGCATTAGGGTGGGTGTCAAGGTCACCTGAAGGACAGGTCAGGTCATTGAACTTTGATGACCATTGACCTTTGATGACCTCGGTTCACTTTTTTCGAGTTTTACATGTATCTAGGCTAGTTTTTTTAGCTAAATTCGAATTTAGCAACCATATGAACATTTACAAAGTAGTTTAGGTGCCTTCGTAACATGTTACGAAGCTGTCAGAGGCGGTTGACACCTAATACGAATACCCGGCAGGACCCCTACTGGTTGACCTGACCCGTCCTGACCCCACCTGGCCTAAATGCATGACGACATCTTTGTGATCAAAACTAACATAATATTCGTGATCAGCACCCCGAAAACCCCATAGCAGCCACACTTTATGACGTTCTAACAGGTCCCGATTTTCCTTTTTTGGGTCATTGACCTGACCTGGAAGGTCAACCAATGACCTAGGACCATAAAATTGGGTATCATCGGCTTCCTCTCGTCACGGGAAACACGCTCGTTTTTTCCCGCGCTCTAGCTCGATCAGGGGCAAAACGGCAAGGGGGGGGGGTCAACAGACCCCCCCCCCTCTTATACGTTCGCGGCTGGAAAAACACCAATACGGGCGAGGGTTAAGGCAGACCTCAGATGCTATTCTTTTAGATAAAGCTGCATTGTGTTAGTATCAGGGCTTCGGATAACATGTTAACTGGGTGGGCAATCGCCCACCCAGTAGCGATTTTTGCCCACCCAGTGGAGTGTGTTTGCCCACCCAGTAAAGACGGTGACGGAGCAGTTTTACCGGCGCTGGGCCGGTGCTCGGCGCCTTCTGCGCCGGGCCGGGGGTGTGTGTCTGAACACCCCCGTCTAACTCGGCTCCTGGGCCGCGTAGCGACATGCGGTAGGCGGCATTGGAAAGACAGTTAAAATGACGAGAATACTTGGTCTTTATAAGGTCAGGTCAAAGCTCAGGTGGCCAGAGGTCATAAAGGGTCAAGTTTGGATTGTTTGAAACATTTTCGAAAACCTGGCGCATAATTTGGGAACTAATAGAGCTGCAGCGCCGCGCAAAGGCGCATTCGATAGCTCTTTCAACGCTCTTTCGGCAAAGTAGTCCTCAGATTTGACCTCAGGTCAACGGCTTAGCATAAACTCTCCAGAGGGCAAAAACTCCAATAATAGCCACTTTTGAAAAAGTTTTTTTTCTGCCATAGCTTTTTACTCGAGAAAGTCATGACATTTATTTTGCCAGCCATCATGTTCTTCTTACCAAGACGCGTCGAATACCTAATCTATAGTTTGACCTTGAAATTTCATTTTGAAATTTGACCCCGAGTCAAGGTCAGGACCTGACCGGAAAAGGTTATGTTGCATGTCAGTCGATCCGTTCAGTCGATCATCGCTCTAACATGCGCCTACCAGAAGTTATTAACGAAAAACTGTTAGGCTCCCTTTTGTGACCTGAGATGACCTCAGGAATATAAGGAAGGGTCACGTCATTTTCACGTCGGGTGTCATTTTCCAGCTCAGTGCGTCATGTTGAATTGTTAATAGGTGTTTGGAAGTGTTCAGAAATGGTGTCCGTCCAGAAAAGAACGCATTTTAATTTCCTTCCATTGACACTGATGATAGATGTCGGACTTTCGCCCCCTGAGGTCATTTTCAGTGAAACTAACATCTCAACTCAAGACGGGAACGAAAGTCCGATAACTAACATCCATGATACTAATGCCTCGTCTCAAGCATTCCAAAAAATTATCCCATTGACTTATAGGTTATGGGGAGGTGGCAAAATTGACCTGACCCTAGGTCACCGGTACCGAAGTTTCGAGATATACATTTTGTACAAACTGTTGGCCTTATCAATCGGTGAAATTTTCAAAGTAATCAGCCACTCGGTGTGGGTATGACAGACATTGGTACTTCAATCGTTATTCGTGAAAAACTGTCTAACAAGCGCCGCTATTTTGACTTGTTGACCCCTGTGACGTCATTTTTTACCTGACCTGAAAATGACCTCAGTAAAAATTGTAGACTTTGTCCGTCTGTATCCCATGCCATTTACTGCTTGTTTCTGTCTTGCTTCGTTCTCGAGATATCACGGGGAGCAGGTATCCGCCCCCCGTCGGCCGTCGGTGTGAAGTTGGCGCGGAATGCGGATCCCCGTTGGTGCGCGGGTTAAACCATGATATTTCGGACCAAAAGACTATCTCGCCACTCAAAGCAAAACTTCAGGACGTCCGGAACCGAAACCCATTGACGCGAGTCACGAATGCGTCGATGGCTACCAAATGCTGCTGTCTGGTAGGTATAAATAAAGCGAAAAATTGTGTCCATTTTTTACAACGCATTCTGATGTACGGTAATAAGAGCAGGGGCGCGGTAACTACTTTCAGACTGGGGGGTGGGAGGGGGGGGGGGCACACCATAATTGAAATCAACCTAGGGTACCCCCAAACCTAGTTTTCTCGCCGGTTTTAGGCCACTTATTTTTCATCCCTTGGCGTTTTCATAAAAAGAAAAGATTTGCAAGAAAAGTGCAATATTTCGTCTTAAAGCTGTGGGGCACCACCCTCACGGCCCCAGAGTTGGGGGGGGGGGGGGGGTAGACTGTCCCCCCTGCCCTCCCCCCGTTCCCGCGCCTATGAATTTAGAATTAGAGAAAACAATGCGTTCAAAGAATCGTAACAGTGATGCCAGTACCAACTTTGGTTGGGGGTGCCCAGAGCCCCTTGGGGGGTGCCCAACTCAGCATTGGGGGTGCCCGGGCACACCCAAAAGTATACAAATCGACACCTATGTCACCGGCCCATGGCAAACACTGGCCCCAACCCCTGGGTACGTCCTTGGGACCCACGCCGGTCTCCAAAGGTCGAAATTGCCCATTGAGTCCCATACTGGCCAGTGGCCCGATGGTCTTATGATGGCCTTTGAGGTTTTTCACCGGCTTCAGAGGGCTCACATGGCACTATGGTTGGAACGGCTTTACGGATGGCCGGGGGTCAACGCGAAAAAAATGTTTTGCCCATAACTTGTTAATGCGTAGACCGACTGCGATGAAACTTTGCATAGGTATACCAGTGTCCTTCGTGCATCATACAGTAACTCAGAAACGACGAGGTCACGTCACGTCACGCGCGTGTGACGTCATCATTGCAAGCATGTTATAAGTCGCCTATGTCTTTCGTAATGTTATCGATATCGCGAGGCATTTTGAACATGTTTTGAATACTGCTATACTGAATGGATATTGTTGTTATGCTTTAGGGCGAGAAATATCAACGTAGTGACGCACAGTGTCCTACTATTTGTCATATTGGGTACACAATTTGGAGAAAAAGTATTAATGATTTTTTTTTTAGATTGGGCAAAAAGGTAAGAAATAAAATGACGATCAAAATGACAAAAAATGCGTCTGATTAACCCGGCAGTTGCTGGGGTATTTCCCCACCCGCCGTTTGCCGGGGGGGGGGGCGTTCAACGCCCCCAGCCGATAACTCGAGAACCAATAGGCGCAGCGAAACGCACGAGGCGGCAAACGAAAGAACGCGACGAGACGATTCAGATGAATACTTGAAAGTTGAATTTCGAGGTCAAAGGTCGGGTGAAGGTCAGGTCAAACACTTGAAATCAGGCTTTCAGTAGCATGGTTTTTAGAACCTCCCAATCGGTGCCCCTCGTCATAAACTCTAACACAACTGTGCACAACCCTTCATATAAGTGCTAAAAGAGTGTCAGATCCATGTAGGGGTCAGTCAAACATAGGCCAGGGTCAAAGTCAGGTCAATCAGGTAAGCACATAACCCCGAAAATTAAAACTGGTACCTATTCGCAGCCCACGACACATGTGTTATGGGTACTTTTGGGCGTAGAACACGATGGTGACATTCATTTTATCATACGAGTACGTGGTTAGTTGATAAAAGATCAATTTCAGAAATGCATGCATCATGGTCGTGAAGTAGTCACGAGAAATTGCCAAGATTCAGGTCAAGATTTTGGAAAATGTAGAACGATGATCAAAAATCATAGATAGCCATTGGATTTGCTATGGTATTGGCAGTGTAATGACGTTTACAGCATGTCTGTATGTCTGTTCTGTCAGTGGATATCCATATCCATACTCCAGGATATCCATACACGTTTGCACGATATCCATACTCCAGGTGCAGGAGCGAGCAGTTACTTCTTACGAGGGGTGCTGAGTCGAGGTCAGAGTCGGAGTCAGAGTCGTAGTCGGAGTCAGAGTCGCCCAGAGTCGTGGCAACGAGCCAGGAGTCGGAGTCGGAGTCAGAGTCGGTCAGGAGCCCGCAGTGGAAGTCGGAGTCGGTCGGAATCGGAACAGCTCCATCACGACTCCGAAACACTGGCAGGGGTCCGGAGTCGGAGACGGAGTCGCCCGGAGTCATGGCAACGAGCCAGGAGTCGGAGTCGGAGTAGGAGTCGGATTTGGCGCCACCACGACTCCGCAGCCCTGCTTCTTACCATCATTTATTAGGATAAGCCTTTGCACGACTGACGAGCCGACCTGCTGCTTGAAGGCCGGCAAAGACCCCAAACAAGTGGGCAGCTACCGCCCGATCGCGCTCACGAGTCACATCGCCAAGCTAGCGGAGCGGATGATCGCGGCCCGGACGACCTACCTCATCGAACGAGACCGACTGGTGCCCCCCGAACAGGTGGGGTTCCGCCGCGGGAGGTCGGCGGAGGACAGTCTGGCCCGCTTGGTCCAAACGGTTCAAGATGGCTGGAATCGCCCCAAGCCGAGACGAGGCCCGGAGGATGGCGTGACGGCGGACCGCTTTGTCCTCCTGGCGTTCGACTTCTCCCGTGCCTATGACACGATCGATCACCGGATGTTGCACCTGAAGCTCCTCAAGCTCCTCCCCAGATGTCTCGCGACCTGGATATTCCGGTTCCTTCGCGACAGGCGGGCCCGCGTAGAGGTCAACGGCGCGCACAGCAGCGAGCGCGTGTTCCGCGCGGGCCTGCCGCAGGGCTCGGTCCTGGCACCGACCATCTACACGCTCTGGGCGGCGGACCTAATCGAGACCCTGCGGGACGCCTCGGACCGCACGGACGTCCTGATGTATGCGGACGACACGGCCACACTGAGCGCTGGAGCCACCGTAGAGCTCGCGGTGGCTCGCGCCCAGAAGTCGGCCGACGCCCTGGCCCGATGGGCAAGGCACTGGAAGATGTCCATCGTCGGACAGAAGACCCAGGCGCTGCTGCTGACTCAGCGGAGCAGGGACGAGCGCGGCGTGCAACTCCTGGTGAACGGCACGCAGGTCACCGGTGGCACCAGCCTACATCTTCTGGGGGTGACCTTCGACAGACTTCTACACTTTAAAGACCACTGCGACTCTCTGCGGCGGAAGGTCCGGCCGCGGACGGCACAGCTGCGGAGGATGACCGGCCGGACCTGGGGTCTCCGCGAGGCGCAGCTCAGGACAGTCGCGAACGGGTATGTCCGGGGAGCCCTTGAATACGCAGCGGGTGCCTGGCTCCCGGCCGCGTCCCCGTCACACGTTCAGCTGGTGGAGCGCGAGCTGCTGGCGGCCGCCCGGGTGGTGACCGGATGCCCACGGTCCACCCCCAGGGATCCCCTGCTGGCCGAGGCAGGCATCCCTTCAGCATGGTCCACCAGGAAGACGCTGGCCGCGCGAACGCTCTGCCGAGCACTCGCCCTGCCGGAGGACGACCCTCTTCGCCGCGTCGCGGAGGCCGACCCACCCACTCAACTGCGGTCTACCACCGGCTGGCGACAACTGGGGCGATCGGCGCTGATCGAGGCGGGCGCCGAGGGAGTGACGGTGGAGCCACGCCTCGAGGTTCCCCTCCTCCCGTGGACAACCTGCCGCCCGATCGCCTTCAATCTGGACGTGGGACCCGGCGGTCGCCGAGCCTCCTCCAACGAGACGCGACGAGAGGCCGCACGGCAGCACCTGGCGGCGCTCCCAGCCCAGGCCACGTGGATTTGGTCCGACGGCTCTGCGGACGCTGGGGTCAGGCGAGGAGGGGGCGGCGCCATCATCTTTACCGCGTCGGGGGAGACTCTCAAGGTTGAGGTGGCGGCGGGAGACCTCTGCTCCAGCACCCGTGCGGAGCTGTTCGCCCTGAGGGCGGCGCTGGAGCGGGTCCGGGATGAGCCGTCCCCCGCCCCGCTGGTGGCGTGCTCTGACTCACGAGCCGCCCTGAGCCTCCTCAGCGCGGGAGCGGCCGCCCAGACCTCCACTATCGGCGCGGCGATCTGGAGGACGCTGCTGGACATTGCCGAGCGCCGGCAGGTGACCCTGCAGTGGGTCCCTGCTCACTGCGGGCTGGCGGAGAACGAGCGCGCTGACGCCCTGGCCAAGCAAGCGGCCACCCTGCCCCAGGGCGCCGTGCCCTCGGACGCTCGGTCCCTGACACGGGCAGTTCATCGGACGGCCACACGTCAGTGGCGCGAAAACTGGCCCGACTCCTTTTTCAAGACTATCTTCGGGAGCACCCTGCCGCTCCCCATCCCCGGAGAGGACCGAAAGGCCGCCATCTCGGTGCACCAGTTGAGGGCGGGCCACTGGGGCCGCTCGCTCCAATACCTGCACCGGATCGGCCGACACCCCTCCGTGGCATGCCTGCAGTGCCCCGATAAGCGGCGCCGTGTGCCGGGAAGAGGCGGACGTGCCGGAGCACGTGTTGCTCCGCTGCCCGGCCCTCGCTGGCGCCCGCCTGCGGCTAACTGGCAGCATTCACGTCGGCCCGTCGCGGCTGCGGGACGCCGACCTGGTGGCTGCCTTGGAGGCCGGCTACCTTCGCCATAGGGAGCCTCTCGGCTATGGTCCTCCGTAAGGAGGTCCCAGGGGGAACAACAACAACAACAACGTGCTGCTAACGAAGCGACGGGTAGGTACGCCTCGGGAGATGAAGCTTCACAGAAGATTTTGCGCACAAGTGCGCAGTTTGCTTTTAGGGTCCCCTTATGCAGAATTGAACAGATATTTATTCTGCCAAAAAGCTCAATGGAGGTTGATGGAGAACTTTTTGTATGTCCAATGAAACATAAACTTAATTTTGCAAATGTTGCTGTGGTGACACTGCAAACAGAATGCAATGCCGTTCCTGATTTTGAACACCCATGGGAAAAAAGAGTCACTCCACTCGATAGCCAACATAAGGATTATTTTGATATATAATAATCCAGTTTTACAACGTCATTGAGGTACTCCACATGCTATCACCAGCGTTGTTGTTTAAACCTTTGACGGCGCACCAAAAAAGCCACTATCAGAAACTCCCGATTCCACGTACGATAATGAAGACTAAATGCGCAACTAAATAGGGAGAGTGGGGAAAGATGCCCAGGTGTTTTCAATGTCGTAAATTATTCGAAAATGACAATCGGAAAGCATAAACTTGGAGTTTCAACGGAACCCGACATCATTTTTCTCCACAAAATAACACACTTTTGTGCTTGAAATATGGTAACTTTTTTGCTATTTATCATTTTCCTGAAGAAATGCAAGGGGGCATCTTACCCCAGAGGGTGGAAAAGACGCCCCCTGCGGTTGGGTAAGATGCCCCTCCGCACTATAAGTGACAAAAATGGGCACGTGAATTGCCTGAAGGAATCAGTTACATTCGAGTCTGCGGTAGACAATTAAACGCCATCATAAGGGCAAAAAAAAAGTCGTCGCAAGGGGCTTCAGAAGTCATCGTGGGGGCCATCATAGTCCAGCGCGGCCAAACAAGCCTCCGTGGTGACGTTCGGAGACCGTTGTGGGGCCCTTATAGGTCTTCATGAGACTTGAAGGCCCTCAAGACCATCGTGGGGACCTCACATGCCAGCGCGGCCCGTGGGGCCAGCGCGGGAGCTCTCAAAGAGTGTCGTGAGGGCCTCGGAGCCAATAATGGGGCCCACAGAGGCCGTCGTGAGGGCTCTCAGAGTCAGATATCGCCCAAAAAGTAGGCATATGGGCCAAGAGACCGACATGGCGAGCACCTGACCGTATTGGACGTTCAATAGTCCCAAATCGATTTTTGTCTTTCTTCACAAGTATGTACTAAATGATTCGACGAGTTCCTTGAAGGGCAGCCCACGGATTTAGGGGGGCGTCTTTCCCTATCAGGTCAGGGGGCATCTTTCCCCAAGGTACCGAATTAACATTTAATCAGTACATTTTGTTAGCACTAAAACTACACCCCGAAACAAACTAGTCGAGGCAAAGTACAGGCATATAAATGCATCACGACAATAGCAAGGGGCTTAATTTTTTTTTTTACAATTTCTTTGATATTCACAATGTTTTGACACTAAAATATTTTTTTGAAAGCAGCACATATAAAACAACCAGCCACCAGCCCACCGTTGCCCAACTGAGCTTGTCAAATTTTTGTGCAGTAAACAAGGAAGGTTTTCGCTTTACGCTATGAACATTAATTTCCAGGTTTGATTTTTTGTTTTGCCGGTAGAGGGGGTGGGGCGTCTTTCCCACCCTGGGCATCTTACCCCACTCTCACCTATTTTTCTGCGCAATTCAAAACATTTCATCAATTTCCGACAGAATGACACCCCAAATATACATATATTCCGAAATTGCCCATGGCCATCCGTGAGGCCGTTTCCAACCATAGTGCATGGGTTCGCGCTGGCCTCTGAGGGCGCAAAATGGGTGTATTTCGGCATCTGGGGGACTCTGACTGTTTTTTGGGTGCCTACTGCCTCAGGCCTGTGAGGTGAGGGTCCCTACCTGTCTCTAAGGTCCCATTTCGACATTCGAGATAGGTACTTATTTTAGGTCACAGCAGAGGCCCATGCAGTTTCCTTAACCCGGCAGTTGCTGGGGTATTTCGCCACCCACCGTTTGCTGGGGGGGGGGGGGGCGTTAAACGCCCCCAGCCGATAACTCGAGAACCAATAGGCGCAGCGGAACGCACGAGGCGGCAAACGAAAGAACGCGACGAGACGCTTCAGATGAGTACTTTAAAGTTGAATTTTGAGGTCACAGGTCGGGTCAAGGTCAGGTCAAACACCTGAAATCGGGCTTTCAGTAGCATGGACTTCAGGACTTCGCAATGGGCGCCTCTCGTCATAAACTCCGTCAAAACGGTGCACAATCCATCATATAAGGCCTACAAGAGTGTCAGCTCCATGTAGGGGTCAGTCAAGCATAGGTCAGGGTCAAGGTCAGGTCAACCGGGTAGGCACATACCCCCGAAAATCAAAACTGATATTCGCAGCCTGTGACACATGTTTTATGGGTAATTTGGGGCGTAGAACACGATGGTGACACTCATTTTATCATATGTGTACGTGTTTGGCTCAAAAAGTTGAATTTAAGAAATGCATGTATCATGGTCGTGAAGTAGTCACGAGAAATTGCCGAGATTCTGTTCGAGATTTTGGAAAATGCGGAACGATAATCAATAATCCAAGATAGCCATTTGATTGTTCATGGTATTGGCAGTCTAATGGCGTTTACGGCATGTCTGTATGTCTATTCTGTGATTTTATATGATTTTTTGAACATATGCCGTTTTTGGTCGTAAACTCAGAAATCATGACGTCATTAAAACCTCGATATCTCAAAAATTTTCCGATTGATTTTTTTTGAAACTTTGTCACAATAAACTTCAATCAATTCCCTACAGGTACCCAAAATTTGGCGCGCCTGCGGCGCGCCGTTTTTATGCTATGGCCCGGCGAAAAAAGTGGGGGCGTTTAACGCCCCCCCCAGCAACTCGCGGGTTAAGGCCCAATGCCGACGCCCGACGGTCATATAGCCGCTTATGATGGCCCCACGTCCTCTTTTGAAGGCACCTCAGGGGTCACCAGAGGCCTGCCAGGGGCACCACCGGCCTCGCAGGGGCACCATGGGCCTGTCAGGGGCACCACAGGGCACGGGCCTGTCGGAGCGGAGACACTTCAGGCTTGTCAGGGGCACAACAGTCTTGTCAGGACCCAGGGGCCCACTGGCGGATCCAGTGGGGGCGGCAAGGGCTAAAGCCCCCCCATCATTCGAAAGTCGACAGGGGTGGCAATATAAATTAGCCCCCCCCCCCAAATACACCGGGATTGGTCATTAAAATGATTGATTGCTGGTAAGTTCCAGCCTTCGATAGTGAAGTTCCTTTAGAAATTCCTTTCCGCTGTTAAGTTGGTAGCGATTTGGCAGTTATTCAAGGATGGGAAAGTGGCGCCCAACTGACTTTCAGCGTCGGAGATTTATCCTAGGTAAACTTTTTTGGGACACCCTGTACAATTGTGACAGATTGCAGGTGTAAAACGACCATCGACGCAAATGCTTACTGTCAGGAAAATTGCAAGATATAGGTCTTAAAAAATGGGGATGAGAGGGCAAAATAATTTTCATTTTGATGTCAGTTTGCACCCAAATCGACAAATTTTGGGATACTGCTGTGACCTGGACTGGAAGGTCAACCAATTACCAAGAACCCTAAAATCGGGTACCATCGGCTTCCTCTCGTTACTCACGGGCGACACGCTTGTTTTTCCGCGAAGTTCTAGCTTGATCAGGGGCCGAACGGCAGGGGTGTCCAACTGTCCACCAACCGACACCTCCCGGCCCGCGAAGGCTGCGCCAAGCACCGACCCGGAGTCGTTTAACTGGTCAACAAAAGCAATTTTAAGTGTTTTTAAAGTAATATTAAAGGCACGGGTCGGGTGGGCTACCATTTCTATATTTTTTAGTTTATTTTTAGTTTAGAAAAATATCGTTTCAAGGCTGTGACGAAAAATAAGTGGCCTAAATCCGATGAGAACACAGGATTTGGGGTTACCCTAGGTTTGGCTCCTGGCATGAGTTGCCCCCCCCCCCCCCAAACGCAGGTCTGGATCAGCCAGTGACTGTAGTCTCCGTTCAGGTGGGCGCCAGTGGCTCTTGAGGGGCGCCACCGACTTCGGATGGGGCGACTGTGATCTTCAGAAGGGCGCCATCGATCTTGGATGGGGTCACAGTTGTCTTCAGCAGGGCGCCTGACGCTCCAGAGGATCACCATTGGGCTTGGGTGGGGCGAGGGAAGTCTCAAGCGGGGCGACTGCAATCTCAAGGGGCGCCAGTGGCTCTTGAGGGGCGCCATCGATCTCAGTTTGGGGTTATAGAGTGGTTTGTGGCGACTGTGATATTTCAGAAAGGTGCGGGTGCTCTGGAAAGGCGCCAGTGGTTTTAGAGGGGCGCCATCGATCTTTGATGAGGCGACTGTAGTCTCCTTGAGGTGGGCGCCAGCGACTACGGCTGTGATCTTCAGAAGGGCGCCAGATTCCCCACAGGGGCGCCATCGATCTCGGATGGGGCGACTGTGATTTTCAGAAGGGCGCCGGGTGCTCTAGTGGGGCGTCATCGACCTTGGATGGGGCGACTGTAGTTTTCATTCAAGTTGGCGCCGGTGGCTCTTGATGGACTCCATCGAATCATCGATCTTGGGGACTCGGAATATTCTGGTCTCCGGAGGGGCGCCTTTAAACGTTGGGGGGGGCTCAAGTATTCATTGGGGATCCTGGAGAACATTGGGGGGGGGGGCGGGTCCCCCAAAGAGATTTTAAGTTCCACCCCCGAGTCCAATTCCAGTTGAATAATCAAGTAGCTACTAAATTTTCCAGGTGTGACACATATTGCACACTTCAGACAAATACGTTGCTAGGGCGCTGCTAAGGACTCTTTCGCATGTTTTGCTGCTTGGTTTGTGTTAAGAAGTGAGGGAAGTAAGATGGACAGGTTTTTCTGGTTTTCTAGGACCGTCTCAATTATTTAACCCGCGCCCTGGTGGGGTCTGTTTATAACGCGACCTGGTGGTGGTGGGGGGGGGGGCTATTTTTTGCCCCCTCGTATCTC